AAAACTTTATCTTAAATGTTCCAAAAGATTTCAGCATTCATTACTAGACGAAATCCTTACAGTGAAGAAATATGAAAAAATTACGACATATGAACTTTTAAGAAAAAAAAACGTTTTCAACAAAGCAGAGCAATTCAAATTTATATATTTATAATAGTACTTATGACTAGAAACCAAAAAATTATTAACAAGATTTCTGATCATCTAAGTATATAAAAATTATTATTAGGTGTTTAGTCTTCATTGGAAATAAATATATGTTAATTTAAAGGTTATAATATTAATAAAAATAATTATGTTGATATTCAAATATTTTATGTTATTCAAGTACTTTATATATTTTCCTCTAGCTTTATTTAAGCGATTATGCATCGAGTTCGCTAGCTTCATTAAAATTGAAAAGCTAATTTGCTGCCGGTATATTACTAGGGCGTAAAAAATTTTTTAGTGGTACGGGAAGGGTGGATTGGTGCGTTATCCTACTGAAAAATTCAATATTCTTTCTCCATAAAGGTTTTCGTTGGAATACAACAAATACGAGATTTTCTGCATACCGGAAAGCGCCCCAAACCATAAGTGAACCGCCACTATCAGTCAGTATATGTCGAGTTTTTCGCCAAACTTATTGCAGCCATCAGGTTCATTTAATAACTCGCTTTTAAATCACTTCACACCAAAAAGTGAAAAATAATTCCTTACATAAACTTTTTATTTTACTTTTATAGTCGTTGTACGATTTCACTCATTTCCACAGTGTGTGAAAGAAATGGCTGAGTATCCCCAAATTTAGTTGAAATTAGTTCGATAGTTCCAGAGATATAGGATTTCACCTAAACGTTGGTGGTGCCATAACCATTTTCCAATTTTTATACCTCTTCCTATAAAGTTCTTACCCAACTATTTTGTGAAATTTAACGCTTGTGGCGCATTTATTTAATGAGTTATCTCACTTTTAATAGTTTTCAAGATAACTGTGATATGGGGAGTGAGTGTGGTTAATATATAATTTTACCCATTTTCACAGCGTTTGAAAAAGTGCTTAAAGGACTTTCTCCCGGCAAATTTAGTTGAGTTAGCTTGAGCGGTTGTGGAGATATGTATATTAAGCCATTCAGAGCTACGCCCACTTTGAAACGAATATCGGCCAGTAGGTGTCTCTTATTACCGTGATCCTCTGTACCAAACTACAGTTCGGTATCTTAATTCAGTGTTTAGTTATAGCACCTTACAGGTTGTATTTTAATGGCGTTTTGTGAGCGTCACAGGGGTCCGATTACGTCCATCTGCAATACCTACCATTCTTGGGTGCCAAGGAACATATGTAGCAACTTTCATAAAGATATCTCAATTTATACTCAAGTTATCGAACAGATGTTGAAATTTTGATATTAATTATATGTGAGCTAGGGAAAGTCTACATACTCGGTACCTAGAGGCTTGAATAGTTTTGGATCGATTTAAACAATTTTTAGTTGCAAGATGGCACACTTCAAAGGCACTATTCGTGGAAAGTTTCATCCCATTACTTGATTACAAGTATTTTAAGGTGATAAACACAACCGTTGAAATAAGCAAAAATATAATACTATATAGCAATATGTTGCAAAAAAATGTGGTATTGTGAAATAATTCAATCTAACTAACTCAAATGAAATGTTAGTGATATAAACTTAATCATAACTTAATTTAATGTATACGGTCAATGAAGAAAATATCATTCTGAGCTAATGAAAATCATTAAATGTAGTATTTAGGATCTGGGGTAGTAGGGGATCAATATTACACATTTTCACCATTACACTATGGTTTATCCAATAATATACTTTCACTTAATTTTGCTACTATTCATACATACGGACCGATACATACGATATAAAGCCAACCAAAAGTTTGAAATTCTTATACAAATCTTAAACATTTTCTAATAAATATAAGGCGTATGGGGGCTCGGGAATATTTTGACCAGATTTTATCCAGTTTTGGATTAACGACATATCATTACCAGAAATAGATACCCTTTGACTTTCGTTAATAAACCCCAAAGATTAATGAAAGGTTTTTGAAAATTGCATCCATTTTATGCACGAGGTTACGCTGTTATTAGAAGAAGAATTTTTTTAATAAAAAGTTAGTACCGGAAGTTTATATGCTACGTATATACAATATATACGAGCTACTGCCCGTATTGACAATGGCATGCTGCATTAGCCTTATACAGTGGATTCCAATTTTCGTCCCTAAGATGAAATAACTTCAGGGCTCTGTTTAAAGTTTTATTCTGATAACTTTATGGATGTTTCATTTTTATACTAAAAATTTAAAGATCTAGGTGGAATTTAAAAGATTGTTATATGAAAGATTCGTGGTTGTCATCTGGTTTCGCCCAGTTTTGCAGTGTATTATTATATGCTTATGGCGTGTTATTATCTGATTTTACCGATTATCAGAGTGTATAACGAATTACTAAAAATACTTCTTCTTAACAAGCTTGGTTGAGTTATCTTCAGCAGTATAGAAGTTACATACATTTAAAGGGCGGTGCCACGCTTACTTTAAGAAAATTTTTGGCCTACAAGTCTTTCTCACTACTGTGATCTTCTGTACAAAATAACAATTTTGTATTCCCATCCGCCCTCCTTTGTGTGCCAAGGAACATGTCTATGTAGTTTCATCAAGATATCTTAATTTTTATTCAAGTTATCATTTGCACGGCTAGACGGACGGAAAGACAATCACTCGGGCTTCAACTCGTCTTGTCATCCTGATCATCTATATATACCATATACTTGTATAACTCTATATCTGTCCCGTTTATTTTAGGTGATACAAGCAACCGTAATCGACTCCACGTCTATATAGAATGTATATTTTTGTTTTTTAAGAAAAATATATGTTTAAAAAAATACATTTTTAACAAGTACGCGCAATTCTTAAATCCCATGATTATAGCGACATCTAGCGTGTTGCTTTTTATTTTCCAAACTAGTTCGCACAACTCTAACCATAGTGGTTAGATTATAATATTATTTTTAGAAAATCCAAAAACATAATTTATGTGGTCATACAACTATATATAGTATACTAGAAGCAAGACAGACGTTGTCCTGTCCCACGTCTTAAATGTAAACTTTTTGAAAATAGCTGTAACAATTAGCCCGTTTTGATAAAAAAGTTTATTAGGAACTTATTACAATATCTAACGTCATTCATATATATTTATCACAATTCGACCAATCGATAGCGTGCCAATATGTATATTAGAATGCTTTCAAAGAGGTTAATTGAAAAAGCTGTATTGAATGAAAACTTGAAGTCGTTTTAATTGATTGCGAAGAGGTTGAATCTATTCCATAACCGGTATTTATTCTTAGAGTTAATTATCTATAATGTCATAGGATGTACAATATTTTTGGTTAATCCTTGAAAGGTATAAACAAATAAATTCGATGGTTTTCCTACTCTCGAGCACGCAACGTATAATTGGCCGTAAGAAAAGTACAGATTTTCTAAATCTAATCCACAAATCGTCATTGTTTGACCTTATGCCTTATTAATAGTCATCGCAAATGCCAAGCAGATGAGTAATTGCAAATGTTAAAATGGTAACGGCGAATCTGAAGGAATCATTGGAATCCGTAGCAGAAGTACAACTTCACCTTAAAATGTTCCACTGAAAATAGTGGCTTCAAAAATGTTGATGATTGATCATGATTTTTTTAACGACTAATCTTCATTGGTTCTTGCGTATTTTTCATAGTATTTTATTTATTTATTATTATTTATTTAGAGCAAGAAATATAAACAAATTTATTATTTATTTATTTACATAATAGTACACAGCAGTATGAATGTTTAGACACTATACACCATACACATGTCTATAGTCTTAATAGTTTAAAAAGATCTTAAAATTTGATCTCAGCGCCATCTATCAGGCTCAATTATACTTTTGAATATCTGTCACGACTGCTGAGCAGTCTGCCGGAATTCTATGTAAAACGTTCTAACATCTGCGATGGTACCGCAGTCTACTGAATCCTATGTAAGACATTTCAAAATTAACAACTACTTATAAATGAAAAATTAGTGTACCAGTAGACCAAATTGTAAATCTAAACCATCCTCGACTCAGCTTGAACTCACACAAAAAATTTCATCAAAACCGGGCCAGCCGTCTAGCGATTTAGATTATATTTGAAATTATTTGGGCAAAATATTTTACAATTCTTTTTTATTTAGTGCAAAATGTTTTGTAAAGTGCTCGGTACAAAATATTGAAACCAAGTACAAAATAAATTACAGAAAAAATATTGAAACCAAGTACAATATAAAATAAAGAAAAGAAGTATACAAATTATTAAAAAAAAAAAAAAAAAAAACATTTCATAAACCCTTATTGGGTCCACGAGTTGAGTTTACCCTATTCATTAATATTCTTCTGAACCTTTCCGAATCGCCTAAGGTCAAAACACTTTGCGCTAATATCGTTATAAAAATGTAGAAATATAGACATTGTAATGAAGAGCTTGGGCCAGAGAAGACACTTAAAAGAGCAAGTAAAAGGGTAAAGACATTTCAAGTACAAACTTAAATCCAGACGTACGCATTTGACCTTTGTATAATATTATGTAAACCTTCAAGAGATAAGAAAATATGCAAACATTTATTTAGTTAAACTCTAGTGTAAGTGTAGTGAAATTGATGAAAAATGTCGAAGGTTATCTTCACTAAACACTAATAGCTGCACATAAACCGTATTCAATATCCATGATGACTTTAATGCTTTCATTATGTATATTAGACAACTAGTTTTTTATAGACCTATGTATGTGCATAAAAATAAATTTAAAGGGTAGTCAGCTGTGGCTCCGGTATTGAGTATTAGTTATCCTCAAATGACACTCAAATCGAGATAGATATATAATATATAAAAGATATGTTCAATATAAATGACGCATGAACTGTTAAAAACAATAACGATAAAATACAAATGTGCTTACCTGCCTTTACTGGATTTCACATCAACAAAACGAGAGAAAATTGCACTAGTGGGCGACGGAGCGTATAAGTAACTTCAGTAGAATTTTTACAACACGCATTTAAATGTTATTTAACGATATTGATTTATACTTTTCGTGACTAAAAAATTTATATTTCATCTGTGCGATGAATGACATTTAATACTGTGAAATGATTACCTGAAAATAGGAAAAAAACACACATATCTATTTATAACGTATATTCATAATATAATTAAAAATATCTAAAAACAAAACAAAAACGTCAACTTCGGTTGCAAAAATTAGAAATTGTATATTCTGAACATGAACAAAAAGTGCTTTCAGAAATATTTTTACCACTAGAAAAGATTGACTTCAGATCTTGTATTAGAAAGAGCTGAGGTTATGAGTCTGTCAACCATGTATTAAAGAAATAATGAAGGACTGATGTCCTTTCTCACTACCTTCAAGCTAGCTCGTGGGAAAAAAATAATAAAATCGGGATACTGATCTCTGCAATTGTAAAATTATCAATCAATTAGGTATAGAGCAACCGAAATTTTAAAAAAGATAGTTAGATGCTTTTGAAATAATTCCAAATCCAAGTTCGTAGTTTCTTGGTCGTTTGTGATGCATCGGTCGAGTAGACATACCCAGCAGCTCACAGAACATGTCTTCAAGTAAAGGCATATACATAAAATAAAAAGTTTTATGGTGTCAGAAATTATCAAAGAACCTTCCATATGGTTCAAAGCTCCATTGCCTTTATTTCAAATAAACAAAGCAGAAAGGATTATTTCCAAATGTGTTGACCATACGAGTCATCAACATTTTTTTTTCTTTCTTCCCAATTTAATTTTTATGGTCCACCATTGCTCAGTCCAGTATAAAATCACCACCACAACCGAAATGATTAATGGCCCTGCAAAATGTCTACGTCAATGGATCCAACACGTTATAGAAAAATTGTCTAATATCAATTTTGCTATGCGAAATAAAGTTTATCATAAATGCTGACGATTGGAGTGCATATTGTCACTCCATAACATCCACCCATAAACGCTTGTGAGAGTTGCGTGCGGGCGATTTCAACCATTTTAGTGTGAACCTTAATGTCAAAGACCAGCATTGTATCATTCATTTGGAGCAACAAATATACGAACCCATTCGCAGTATAGTTATAGTAACAAAAATGACAGCCCTTCGGCCCACATCATGTTGTTTTGGATTGAAACCGTTCATCGTTAAGTGAAAATATGTAAATATAATGGGAAAATTATTTTAAATTATTCAGCAAAATCATCACAAATGTCACAATCAATAAACACTGAGTACTTAATAGCTGTTTGTTGCACCAAATGTCATTTGATCCGCACTGCTCCCCAGGCAGCCGACATTTTGCAGCGACATTTCTGTCGCTATTCATTTGTATTTTATGTAAATGCTCCGAGCTTTCAGGAAAACTTAAATGCGTTTTGTAAACCTTTTAAATTAATTACGGCAGCCCTTGCATTACAAGCCAATACATAAGTATATATTGGGACAAAGCTCGCTGAAGCATTTGTAAAATATTGTTTTAATGTGTTCACAGCGCCGGAGGTTCAAATTTTTCGTTTGTTTCACATAGTGATAAGGAAATTTGTAACCAAGCGTGGTTAAAAAGAAATTTACATATTTGGGATTGTAGACTACTGTTAATAAAAAAAACTTTTTGTCTCATATGATTTTATGTCAGGTAGAATATGGTAGAAATGGAGTAATTACTGATTTGCTTTCGTTGCTAGATACATGAGTTCTTTATGCCCAGTTGTACTTTTATATGACGATTAAGAGTGACTATGTATTTAAATATTACGTTCTGAGCAAGTAAGTAAGAGCTAAGTTCGGGTGTAACAGAACATTTATACTATCTCTTAGTTTCACCAGTAGGTTCATGTCAGTTCATTGACACAAATCATTATATAAATCACATTAGTGCCGTAAGTAACCGAATCACATAATTCACCGATATTAACACATTATTATCTCTGAATTTCGTTATTATATCTCACAAATTGACCAATATTTCCAATATTGATAAATATTTTCAGGTCGACGGTGGACTTAGAATATGATTTCGAACCTATTTGGGTAATAGATGACATATCTCGGGTGCACTATTTCTGTTAATTAATACGCTCCTTTCATTGGTGAGATTTTTGAATACCATCTATAACTTTATGTCGAAAATAGACTGTTTTGGTGATAGCTTTCCCACTTTCGTAAGTAAGTTGAGAAGTACCGAAGGCAACGAAAGTCTAAAAGAGGCTAATTCAGACGAAGATATTGAAAAAATCCACAAAATTATTTTGGATGACCGTAAGATGAGGTTTATCAAGGTAACTGGCTTTATGAAGATATGAAAAAGGTATGTTTATTTAAATTTAGATAAACTGAAGCTATATACAAAGTGGGTGATTTGGAATTATTTCAAAGTTGGCATCACAAACAATGCCATTTCTATACATAAACTGTATAATGTTTACGTAAGGATTCGAAATCAAACTATGAATGCAAAAATACTTACTACGCCCTATTACATGGTTTGAAAATGGGTGTAATTGAACCCTAATTTTTCATTATTCTGCATATGCCACACTGTGCACCGTCTCAATGATAATCTCAAAAAAAAAAAAAAAACAATAAAGCTCCTCCTACTTAAAAATATGTGCAAAGAGTAATCGTTCCTTGATATGTATGTATTATTATAATCGTTGGGCATATTTTTCTATTAGCATGGATGTTGCCAAAAAATACACACAAGCCTATGTGCATAATCTTTGTTTTATTAGGTAATAATAAAGCGACTTAAAATTTCAATAAAGCTTTGAAACGCTAAAACTTTTACAAAAGCGACTTACAGCGCTAAGGTAACTAAATGCTCGTTTGTATACACACAGGGCATGCATACGCTCTTAACATACATACGAGTACAAAGATATGAGACAGTAAGTTTTCAATAAAGGATGCAAGAATTCAAATGTATACATACGAGTTTACAGACAAAATGCCATCAGAATGTGATTCATCAACATCGCTACGGAACTACATTATTCACTTCATATTCAATAGCTTATGGAATTTTCAAGGAGACACCTGCCAAGAATCAAAATCAAATTGCCTCTATAATATTCGAACGAATTACGAATAGCACGCAAGTCAAATGCCCAACAACCATCTACTATATGTGTACATATGTATTTATACGCCTGCATTTTTTTCCATGGGATTGGAAATAGGTAAAACAAAACTTAAAACAAGAAAAAACTTTAACTTCGGTTGCGCCGAAGCTATAATACCCTTCACAAATACAAAGGCCCCTTACAAGAACTTGATTCCGAACGTTCAATTTGTATGGCAGCTATATGATATAGTGATCTGATCTGACCAATTTCTGTGGAGAATAATTTGTTGCCTTAAGCAATAACTCGTGCCTAATTTCGTGAAGATACCTCGTCAAATAAAAAAAATTTCCATGCAAGCACTTTACTCCGATCGTTCAGTTAATATGGCAGCTATATGCTATAGTCATCCGATCTATACAATTTCTTCGAGGATTCGATAATTGCCTTAAGTAAAAATATACGCCAAATTTCGTGAAGATACCTCGTCAAATGAAAGAGTTTTTCATACAAACACTTGATTCCGATTGTTCAGTTTGTATGGCAGCTATATGCTATAGTGATCCGATATCGGCGGTTCCGACAAATGAGCAGCTTCTGTGTTAGAAAAGTACAGGTGCAAAATTTCAGATCGATATTTCAAAAACTGAGGGACTAGTTCGCGTATATACAGACGGACAGACGGACTGGCTAAATCAACTCAGCTCGTCACGGTGATCATTTATATATACACTTTATATGGTCTCCGACGTTTCCTTCTGGGTGTTACAAACTTCGTGGCAAAAGGGTAATGAAAGCTGCTTTAAGACAACAAATTCTTAAAGAATGTTGATGAGCGAAATTTCTAGAGTGTAAGCGAATATTTAATAAGAAGAAAGCGCGTAGCGACAAACTATAGGAATATTAGGGTGGCTCAAAATAGAATCTTTCATCAATAGAGTCCGAGCGAAAAGTGTAATATAAAGGCTTCTCTTAAAGGCGCCAGTACTGTGAGGCATCTCAGTCTAAGGTAAGTTAGCAAAGTTATACGAGGAGCGTAAGTGTGGTGAATTCTGCCTTTTAAGTGTGGGGAATTCTGCCACAATGCTTCGCGTTACAAGCTCGAAGTTATAAAACGAAGTTACATGTATAGTAATTAACGGCTTTTAAACATAATTAGTTGCTGGTAATTGCTTCGGTTTTTGATTAATGGCGTTTTGTGGGCGTGGTAGTGGTCCGATTATGCCCATCTGCTATACCAACCGTCTCACGGTACCAAGAAACATGTCTACCAAGTTTCATAAAGATATCTCAATTTTTACTCAAGTTAGAGCCTGCCCGGACGGACGGACAGTCACCCGGATTTCAACTCGTCTCTTCATCCTGATCATTTATATATATATAACCCTATATCTAACTCGATTAGTTTTAGGTGATACAAACAACCGTTAGGTGAACAAAACTATTATACTCTGTAGCAACAGGTTGCGAGAGTATAAAAATCCATAGATTTTTGTATTCATTTTATACTTATTTTATATTACGTGTAAAAGTTAGGTACCAAATAAATTGCAAAACTCGAAATGACAACCCTGCGGCTTAGGGTGTCCGTTATTTCCCAAGTTGATGGTTTTTTTTTTGCAAACACCCCCTGAAGCCCGCTGAAGCCCTAAAAGGGTGCAACGTAAACAAGCTCTTTATTTTTAATTTAGACGGTGCCAAAATGAAATTTCTTTTCTCATGTATATAACATGCAAATTTCGTGATTATTTTGAAAAATGCCACAAAAAGTTTTTGTAGAGCGTTGATTTCCTATAAAAATAATGCGATGCCGCAGCAATGTATTAACTGGCATCGCAAAAAAAAATTTTTTTGAAAAATATGTTATTTAAATGGGAAATGTATCGTCGCTGCATATGGGTTTTATAATTTGTTTTAAGACATTTACTAAAAATTTTTGGGGCGCTGCAGAGTCAAAAATATATTTGAGAAATAATGGACATCCTACTGCGTCTGCTTTTCCTTCAATATGCGTTGAAATGTATGTGTAGCCAAACG